ATCCCTAACGTTCTGTGATTCTGTGAAAGGGACACAGTGTAAGGGCTTGGCATTGCTTCTGTAGAGCTCCTTTATGCGATGTGACCAGTGCTTCCATAGCTCATCCTTGCATGCCTGAGCCCCGGTGCATTGTTTCCCTGGTGAGAATGCAGTTGGCAGCGAGCTGTGCTACACAGTTATTCTTCCTTCCAGGCATAAATACAGTCTGACTGTGACTGCAATCGTGATATTAAACCAGAATAAAGCACCAGGCAGTTTTAGTAGTAAACTCTTTAAATCCCTCCTCTTTTTATTCAAGTGCAGTGATATATTCCTCCCCCTCCCCTGTTTACTGGGAAATCTGGGTTAAAATGACCATGTGTTGTTTGCAATAGTAAATCTCTGGAGCAGCTAAAAATTTTAGTGTTTGGCTGTAACCCAGCACTTTGCAAAGAAAATACCTTCTTACAAGTGCTTTGGTTGGTGTTTTTAATATTAATGGTCACAAGCCCTTTGCAATTAAAGTATTGTTTTCTGTTTTGCTCCTTCTAGTCAGTGCTGATGAATAACATCACAGTGAATGAACAACTGATCCAGAGTCTACGAGGTATGTCGTAATACCCCTCTGCATCTCTCTCACAGTGCTTTTGGAGCCTCCTGTTTTTAAGACTTGCATTTTTTTGGTGTCTTCTGAGACTGCTGCCTTTCTCCAAGTAATGGGGACAATGCGGTAGTTGTGTGACTTAGATCTTGCATAGTTCCAGGTCAGCGAGGTGTCAGACTAATCTGCCTTAATGGTAGAAGGATTTGTCCATGTAGTGCTTGATGTAGGACTTCTGACCCTTGTGATATAAGCCAATATGGAATAAAACTAGCTTCTGTGTGCACTGTTAGTGTATTTATTCTTCATTATACCTTCTTGCATTCCTTCCTGAAGCATTTGGGTTGTGCGTTTTAGCACCAGGGGAATTCACAAACTCCTGTATTAAAAGAGAAAACTTGGTATAATTAATTTCTGTTCGTGTTGGTCCTTCAAAATTAGCAATTTATTAGCAATTTAGGAAGTTGGATCTAAAGTTCTATAAACAGGTAAATATGTTGTGTTGCCGCCTTCTGGAAGAAAGCTTTAAATCTTAGATACCTCTGTTTTTGAGGAACATAACTGTAAATTGCATATTATTCAGGGGAGCACTGTAAGCTTGTCTTTAGATGGCTAATGAACATCAGTGCAATTTTATACTATGTTGTTATTAGTATTTCACAGATGTAAAGACAAGCTGGGCTGAAGCCTAGCAGAGCAAGGGTCTGCAACCAAGTTATAATACTTCTGAGGAAGAAAAGGAGGTCAGAAATCTGTGAATGAATAAATTCAACAATTATCTGTCCATTTTGTATATAAAATATACTGAGCACAACAGATGGGTGGAGTTAGTGTGCTTAGTATCAATCTGTTTTTGGATACTTTTATTGTAATATATGTAGGTGTATATATAGGTGTGTGTGAATTTTGATACAAATTTTAATCCTGTTTTGTTCAGAACACTTGAAAGAGTTACAGACTGAATATGGAAAGCTACAGCTCGATGTTTACTGGTTTCAGAAGAACCAGACTAACCTTCAGAGGAAGTTCTCATATGACCTGTAAGTACAATCTTTCTAAAAGGTGACTTCTGGAGTTGTAGGTGACTTGGTTATAACCCAGAGTATTCTTGCGATAGCTATAGCACTGTTAGTAAAGAGAAAATAACACTTGACACATCTTCTAAAATTGCTTGCAGCTGATTCTGGGGAAGAGCATAGCCCTTGCAGCGCTTGGTGTCTCAGTTTCCACAGATTTCTCCCACGATTCTTAATTTTCCTTCCATTACAGAAGAAGAAAGGTAGCAATATTCTCACTGAAGAGCTGGGGGAAAAACTGAAACACAAAGAGGCTAAACTCTGAAGAAGTTTAAGAGCTGAGATACAGGAATAGCTGTTGAGAAGCTGTACCTCATTGAGCAACCACTGCTTAGCCAGATTTTGTAGGAATTATGACTAAAAGCCTAATGTGGCAATCAGAGAACTTGAATTCTGCAGGTGAAACTTGAAATATCATTCCTGCCCCTGGCCCCACTTAAGAATTAAGGCTTGCTATTAATGTTTTTGGGATGCTTACTGTTTACTAATTAGTTGTGTACTCTTTTCTTAGGGCATTATTACTCATTTAATAATGATGACCCATATGGATTGTATTAGGGGAGTTCTAATAATTTAGGACTTCTAACAGAAAAGTAGAAGAAAGTTGGAGACTTATGTTTGTATCAACAAACACGCATTTTTAATTCCTAGGAGTTTGTTTTGTTCCATAGATGCTGCTTTGGAAGTTTTGCTGCACGTAGAAAGTCTGATAATTAATTTGGTATTTGCAGCCCTAACAAGTGTAAGGGTGTGGGTGCATGAGGTTTTTTTTTGGCCGAAATGAGAAGAGCTGATGATCCATGTTTCTGGGGGACAGTGGTGCTCTGTTTTGCATGTTAAAAGAATATTTAGTAAGAAATGGGACAGACTGTGCTGACCAAGTGCAGGGCAGGGCCAGACATCTCCTTTCTGGAGATGGCCCTTGGATGGACTGATGGCTCCTGTGATGGGCCTGGGAGCTGCTGGGGAAGGTATTACTTGGGCTTCTTTGTGTCTGTGCGGATGAGCTCTTTATCACAAAAATTAAGTCTGTTTAGAAACACATCACAGAAATTGAGCTTAAGAGCACTGGTTTTGCACATTGGAAGTGTGTTGTATTGATGGGATGAGGGGGAGAAACTGGTGCTGTTCTTGTGCTTCAGAAGTTGTTGTATGCATAAGTACAGTATTCAAATCTCCAGAAATCCTTTTTACAAGCAGGAAATTCCTTCACAGACAATAAATCAAAAATTATGAGGATTTGTCACAGATGTTAAATGAAATTTATTTTCCTGTGCAGTGTGAGATGAAAGAGT